ATAATAAATTATTGTAACAATCTTATGTTAATATTCTTTTAAATTTTTAGCTAAACAAATATATGATTTATTTTCAATTCAAATTTTTATAATTATAAAATTCAAATTATAATAATAAATTTTTCTAAAATTAAAATATGATTATAAATAATTTATATTTAAGTATAATTATTATTCTGATTATTTATTAATTACTAAATGATTATATTAATTATTTTGTCCAATTATATAATTATTAATTTAAAAATGAAATTAATTTTAAAGAATAAAGTTAATAAATAATTTTTTAAAAACTACAAAGCACCTAATTAAAAAATAAGTGAAACTATAAGGACTTGATAAAAAGAAAAAAAATAGAAGGACTTGATTAAAAACACATGAATGTAAAAGGATCTGATAAAAAGAAAAAATTTTATAAGGACCTAATTAAAAATCAGATGAAACTATAAGGACCTGGAGATTAATTATCCCTAAATTAAGGGCTATTTTTTTAAAAAATTCAAGAAAAATAGATAGGAGATGATTTGTTGTCCCAAAATTTTTAGAGAAATTATTTTATGGGCTGAAGAAGCTAATAAAAGAAGAAACTCCATATCAAACATGGTGGAATAATTTCTGGGTTTATTTTACAATTACAAAAAAATAGAAGAAAGCACAAGCTGGGAATTGAGGATTGAAGAGATCCATTGGAGTACATAGGAGTGGCAACCTGAAAGCTTTTTGAAAATTGCACCTATCTCTATAATGTTAGAAATATTTCAAAAATAAAAAATCAAATCTGAAAATTTCAATATTTATTGTATCATTATAGAAATATACATATGATAAAATATAAACTTTATAAGGAAAGGACAAAACTTGATTTAAATTCTCCGATCACACATTGTTATATATTCTATTTTTCTTTTCATATAATCATTAATCCTAAACTCATATGAAAAAATAAAATACATAATTATGTATCATCGGATAATTTGATATAAGGATTATATTTTTTTAAATGAAAGAAAAAGCTTAACCATGTGCGATGCATGGTCATGAAGATTGCAAAAATTAAAAGACGACTTGGCCATCCATGCGCGCGTGTTAAATCAGTAGCACCGATGTACTTTCGACGTTGGTGACATCGATCTTTACCGTTTGCAAGGAATTTCATACTCAAAAGTATAAGCTTTTCGGGTGACAAGCTTTGAATGTTTACCTTTTTTCTTTTGATACAATGAATGTTTACTTTAAAAGGGAGAAAGCATGAGTGATTTTTCTTTTTAATTTCACTTTTAAGTGGAGAAGCATCTTACGTATATGTAGTCATGCATCCTTGTTGGAATTGTCACTTGACTGTCTATGGCATTTGTATCAAAACTGAAAAAAATAAGTTATTTGAAAAGAAAATCAAAGTTTTGGTCCAATTGTTTTGACTCAGCGGTATAAAATCAACTTCAAACTTAAAATCTTGTAATATCCGATTCCTTTAAATATGGGTCAGGTCTGGTTAAGAAGAATATGGGATAATTAATCTCCAGGTCTTTATAGTTTCATCTGATTTTTAATTAAGTCCTTATAAAATTTTTTTTATCAGATCCTTTTACTTTCATGTGTTTGTAATCAAGTCCTTCTATTTTTTTTTCTTTTTATCAGGTCCTTATAGTTTCACTTATTTTTAATTAGGTGCTTTGTAGTTTTTAAAAAATTATTTATTACCTTCATTCTTTAAAATTAATTTCATTTTTAAATTAATAATATATAATGGACAAAATAATTAATATAATCATTTAGTAATTAATAAATAATCAGAATAATAATTATACTTAAATATAAATTATTTATAATCATATTTTAATTTTAGAAAAATTTATTATTATAATTTGAATTTTATAATTATAAAAATTCGAATTGAAAATAAATAATATATTTGTTTAGCTAAAAATTCAAAAGAATATTAACATAAGATTGTTACAATAATTTATTATTTTTAAAATGTTATTATTTGTAAAATAAAGAATAAAAACTACTAGGATCTAATTAAAAACAAAGTAAAACAATAAGAACCTGATAAAGAGAAAAAAAATTATAAGGACTTGATTAAAAATACATGAAAGTATAAGGACCTGATAAAAAGAAAAAAAATTATAGGGACCTGATTAAAAACAGTTGAAACTATAAGGACTTATATATTAATTATCCCTAAGAATATTTTCAAAGCCGTTGAGGTGCTCACTTATTATAAAAGAGAGAATGGCTAAAAATTAAATGCATAATAATATCTATTAATAATAGGGAGAATGACAAAAAAAAAAGTTGAAAATTGCAAATCTCAAATCAGGTTTAGTAACATAACATTATTTGGTATTGATAAGTTTGAATTTGCAAATAACAATAAATTTTGTTGACATTCCTTATTTGGCATTTACAAAATTTCAGCTTATTTTTTTGTCATTGTCCCTTAATAATATCTATTATTAACACTCTAATATTAATGATTAAAACAATGCAATCTAGTGAAATTTCAACCCTAATCAAATATGTCACCGTGTGCATTGCGCAGGGGAGAATTTAAGAGTTTCATCTCTAACTTTTTATTTGTTACAGCTCAATTAGTATAGTTTTGACTTAGTTCAATTTTATTACTTAGATTTTTAACTTATTGTAAGTCAATCTCTATAAATGGTTTAATTATAAATATTGAGTTACGTTGGGTCAAAATTTAGAGACCAAATTACAACTGAGTAAAAAATATAAGGCTTCAAGGGGTTACAGTTTATGCACTAAGTTACATGAGTCAAAACTATAATCATTAAAAGCGAGGGGGATTCAAAAAGAAAAAAGAAACCCATTTTCACCCTAAAATCCCTCCTCATTAAAAGTTCTCTTTGCGTGGGCATGAGAGCTTTGTTTTCCTTTTTTCATAGAAAATGGTTCCATCTTTATCTTTTGCAAGGAATTTTATACTCAAAACTCAAAAGTGGAAGCTTTGAATTTATTTTTTTTTGGGTGACAAGCTTTGAATGTTTACTTTAAAAGAGAGAGAGCATGAGTTGCTTTTTTTATTTCACTTTTAAGTGGAGAAGCACCTATGTATATGTAGTCATGCATCCTTGTTGGGATTGTCAGTTGACTGTCTATGGCATTTGTATCAAAACTAAAAAAAATAAGTTATTTGAAAAGAAAATTAATGTTTTGGTCCAATTGTTTTGACTTAGAGCTGTAATCAACCAACTTCAGACTTAAAATCTTGTAATATCCGATTCCTTTAAATATGGGTTGGATCAGGTTAAGAATATTTTCAAAGCCATTGAGGTGCTCACTTATTATAAAAGAGAGAATGGCTAAGAATTAAATGCATAATAATATCTATTAATTAGAATATTAATAATATCTATTATTAACACTCTAATATTAATGCTTAAAACAATGCAATCTAGTGAAATTTCAACCCTAATCAATCTCTATAAATGGTTTAATTATAAATATTATGTTTAGTTAAAGTTTAGAGACCAAATTACAACCGAGTAAAAAATATAAAGCTAAGCTGCAAGGGGTTACAGTTTATGTACCAAGTTACATGAACCAAAACTATAATCATTAAAAGAGAGGGGAATTCAAAAAGAAAAAGGAAACACATTTTCATCCTAAAACCCCTCCTCATTAAAAGTTCTCTTTGCGTGGGCATGAGAGCATTATTTTCCTCCTTTCATAGAAAATGGTTCCATCTTTACCTTTTGCAAGGAATTTTATACTCAAAACTCAAAAGTGGAAGCTTTGAATTTTTTTTTTGGGTGACAAGCTGTGAATGTTTACTTTTTTTTTCTTTCGATACAATGAATGTTTATTTTAAAAAGGAGAGAGCATGAGTGACTTTCTTTATTTCACTTTTAAGTGGAGAAGCATCCTTTGTATATGTAGTCATGCATCCTTGTTGGAATTGTCAGTTGACTGTGCATGGCGTTTGTATCAAAACTTTAAAAAAAAGTTATTTGGGAAGAAAATTAATGTTTTGGTCCAATTGTTTTGATTTAGCTATAATCAATCAACTTCAGCAGGAATCAAGGCGCCGAAAGTAAGCCATAGTTAGGTTACCTAGGCACTTTCGTAAACCATGGTAAAATAATCCGTGGTTAGAATCCAGTTTAAATTCCAATCACTTGCTAGTGTAAGGCAGAATGCGCCCTACAACTTTGCATATTGTTGTAAACATTTGTACAATGTTTTGTGAGTAAATTCTTGAAAGATCATTCTTCCAATTCCAGTCTTACGGCTCTAGTCCTGTATTGTGAGAAACGAGAGAATAGAGACATATCCTCGGTAGAGAAGTCCGCATCACTAAAGGTTACTATGTCCAAGAACTTCTGGAAAGATAACATTTTCCTCCGATACTGTGTCGTTGGATCGGCCTGAGAGTACCTGTGTTAAGCCGACGGACAGGTGTGTTAGGGGAAGTTGCTGGGATCCGTAAAACCGAAGCTAGTGGGCTTCAGAGGATAAGAAACTTTCCACAGTTCGAAAGACATAGGAAACCAGAGGAAACGTGTTGGACCCTTAACCGAGATAATCTTTATATCTGTTGATTTTTGGCATTACAGGTACAGTACGAGCTAAGACCAGGAAGAAGAAGATTGATCTTAATCCAATGGTATGGAGAACTCACTCCTTGAATTTATTTTCCAGAACAGGTGGGCTTTTGCCTATGCCCAGGATTTACCAGTTTCACGACAATTGTATGTTTATAAACTGATAAGCCAGACTGAGTCTACGATCTGTCGAAAGATGGAGGAGTTAGAAAATAATACAGACCTAGAAGAAATCAAAGAATTAATACTACAAAACCAAGTCAGGATTAAAACACTCAAAGAAAATCAAGATAAGTTATCCAATAGGTTAACCAACCTGGAAAGGATGATAGAAAGAAACACAAACCAGATATCACAGCTAGTAGCTGTGTTTGGGATTAGAGAAATATCTAAATCCTCCAGACCATTTAGTCCATCCCCTAAACCTGTTTAATGGATAAACTAAAAATCAGAAAACAATTTGAAGAATGGAAAAGGTTTCAAGAAGAACAAAAGAAACTTGAAAGTTTTCCCCCAAGGACTCTAATTATTAGAGAACCAGCACCTGATGCTACTTTAGAAGAAAAAGTAGAAACATCCACTATAAGTAGTAAGGATGAAGTCCAGAAATTAGATTCCCAAATAGATGAATATTTAGGAGAATCTACAGATTACGGGTTAGAACAAACTCTAGTCCAGCAAACACTTAACACCTTAAATTTGGAAGATGTTAAGGTCAACCATGAACAACGTCCAGGAAAAGAACATGTTAAACCAGAAGCAGGTCAGCCATCAGTCGCTAGACCAAATCCTCCAGATGATTCTTCAGTAGATGAAGAAATAGAAACAGAATTACCAGATTGGCAAAAACCAGCCCAAGATGCTTGGCGTTATCCTTTAGAGCCAAGATATACCACATACGGATATGAACCAGTAGATAACCCTTTAGAGCCCATAAAGCCCTCAGGAGTTATCCTCAACCTTGATTGTGAGGTAAAACCAGGAGAAAAAATTTCCCAATGGATCAAAGAAAGTTCAGCTGTAATCTATAAAGAAAATATGACTGTTGATCAGGCATATAACTTCTTGACGATGGCTACAACTGGAAGCGTATCATATTTCTTTGATAACATTTTCAGAGAATCCAAAAGGGACATTCTGTCATCTCATGATGTTCCAACCCTCATAGAAAAACTAGAAAATTTTGTATGGTGGGAATTTGTAGGTACAAACCTACGCCAGACAGAACAAGAATACAGAGACCAAATGAGAGAGGAAACCAAGAGAAAACTTAGCTCCTTGCAACTATGTAATCCTTGTTACCTTAAAGAATATTTGTGTCAATTCCAGAATATTTTCCATAAAGGTTTCTTCGGAACCGCCTTAGAAAATGAATACCAAATCTATTCAGATATGATATTCAGAAAAATCCAGGAACCATGGGGTAGTGTAGTCCTAAACGATTACTACGCCAAATTTCCAAATGAGAATATTATAAACCATACCATAGGTAAGAAAGCCTCTTACATAAGAGAATGGTTTGAATATCTCTGAACCAGAGCGTCCATGAACCATAAGATAACCAAATGGTGGACCAAGGATAAACTTTGTTGTAAACGTCATTTAGAAGAAAAATGGGGTTGCAATGAGTTTAAGAAAAAGAAATCCAGAAAGAAATACAAGAAAAAGTATTTCTTCAAAAAGAGACTAGATAAAAAATACAGAAAAAAGAGTAAAACCTAGTAAAGGTTATTGGCAGAAAAAATCCAGACATAAGAAAAGACCACCCAGGAAAAAATGTAGATGTTTGATTTGCCAGGAAGAAGGTCACTATGCAAATGAGTGCCTTAAAAGAAGACAGAAGAAATTCCAGGAAAAAAAAAAGTTTATAAAGCTACGTTTTTTGATCATGAACTTGTTCCTTGTGAACAAGGTGAAGAAGAATATTCCTCTGAAAGTATTTACAAAGTACTATCAGGAGAATATACAGATTTTTCCGATGGAGAATTAACTGATTAAATGTCAGCTAATTCAGAATCTATGATTTTTCATCCAGAAATAGCCAAGAAAATAAATCAAGAGTTATTTTCAGTACAACCAAAAGATATTTTTGAAACATCTTGGTTGCCCAGCTTTTCCAAAAGAAAGAAAGAGTATTTTGTGAAAAGAAAAACTAAAGTCCAAGTAGAAGTTAAAGAAGCCCTTAGCGGGACTGCTGAAATTCCACTACTCAATGAAGGAATAATTCGAAATGAATTATCCCAAATCCAGAATCCTTTTATCTCCGACATCTACGTAGGTGCTGTAGAGATAACTGTCAAAGCATGCTTCAAAGGAGGGATTAATACCCCTATCCAACTCTACATAATGGATGATAGAGTAACCTCCAGTATAAAGTCATCTCTCTTAGGACTCATCCTAGGGAATCTTATATACCAGAAACTAAAATTTGTTGTTTATCCAAATTTTAGTATTACTACCAGAGATATAGTCACATAAAGTTTGCAATTGCAAGCATGTTGAACTAGAAGCGTACAATATGATGGCCTTGTTAATGAGATAGAGATATACTCATTAACCTCACATAGTCACATAAAGTTTGCAATTAAAATTGGGGCTTAATTAATTAAATAAGAGATTAAGGAATTAATTGAGCTAAACACCTATTTGGAGACTTGAAAGAGCACTTATAGGTAATTTAGTATCCTTGGCTAACATAATCTATAATTAAGAAGCAAATATAATGGGGATTTAATTTAGTACTTTTGAAATATAAGGGGATAAATAATCCTAGGTCTTTTTGAATAATTGGAATTGAAGAATCACTTTTCTCTTTATTAATTTCTAATTTTATAAATAGTTACTTCACTCTTGATATTTGTATTACTCAAATTAAATGAAAATGTGATAATCAATACTTGACTGGGTTTTGAAACCCAATCCTCATGGGAACGATACTCTACTTATCACTTTATTACTTGTGATGACTCGTACACTTGCGGTGCGAACAAGTTTTTGATGCCGTTGTCAGGGATTTGTGTCTTAAAACCGTCTTTGGTCAATCTTGATTACAGCATGATTAGCTTAAGCTTGAGTTTTGTATATATTTGTTCTTGTGTGATTGAGTCTTCCTTTTGACTTATTTTCTAGTATTCTTGTGTTTGTTTGTTCTATTTATGTGTCATTGTGTTTGTTGTTTTATTTTAAGCTTTGCTATGGATTATCCTTGGTGGACTAGTGGTGGAAGTGGTGGATTTGAGTATGGTAATGATTATATAAATTCTTGTTATGACTCTTATGCTTGTGTGGCTCATTGTGATGAGTACATTTGTTCTAATTATTATGGAGATTATTACTGTAATGAGCAATGCCCCCATGTCTCAACCTTGGATTATATGGAGGATTTTGTTGCTAGGACTCAAAATGATTTGTTTGATAATTCATTTAGCCTTGCATTGAATCATGAACAATCATTGTCTTGGGATCCTAGTTGTTCTCTTCCCTCATGTGCATCACATTCTTATATATCACCCCATACTCATGTATATGAAACTACCCTCATTCATGAGAAGAAGCCCACAATAGAGGATATGCTTCAGCATATTCTTGATAATGAAAATGAAATGAAAGCTTGGAGAGAAAAGAAATTTAATGAACATGCTTTAGCTCTTCAAAATTTAACACTCCAAGTAGGTGAGATGGCTTCTACCTTTGAGTCTTTGAAGCAAGAAGGTGTTTTCTTTTTTATATATCAAATGATTCTTCTATAAAAGATGAGATTTCAAGTGAAACATTGATCATGGGGAGGGAGGAAATGTTTCCTATAACTTGTGATAATTTTGGGGTTGATTGTAAGTTGGAATTGAATGAGGAAGAGAATAATATTAAGTGTTTAATAGAGGTTCCAAACTTGGAGCCTGGTCCTTGTTTTGAAGATGAGAATAGAGAGAAAATCCCAGCAATGTATACTCTTAATCCTCCTACTGATCTTTTGACTCTTATTGATGAGAGTCAAGTGGATTTTATTGGGTGTTCAAAGTACTTAGGGGTCTTAGATGGTAATTTTGAAAAAAACTAAATTAGACCCTAACATGTACTTCAATGAATCATGTATCTTGAAATCAATTTTGATTGATGGAGCATGTGTTACTTGTTTGGATGAACACACATTCATGCTAGAACCTTGTTATTTGAAGAGGAATGAAGACAAGGTTATCCTAGTCTTTGATACCTATGATTAGGCATGTGCTAAAAAGTCAGGCTAGAGGACTATAAACTAAGCACTTCTTGGGAGGCAACCCAAGCTTTTAAACTTTATTCTCTCTCTCTCTTTAATTGTTGTTATCCTTTAATGCTTTGACTTGTTTTAGGTATTTGAAAGTCTATCATCATATTTAACATGATACAAAAAAAGAATCAAGTTTGAAGAGTAAAGAGCATTCTCAGGGAAGTTTCTTACACTCCTAATTTGATTAGAATTTAGGCAATTTGATGATAGATTGTTAGTTGATGATTTGACATGGGTTCCAATTTTGCAAACTTAGACTTTTTCTTGTCATTTTGTTTGAAATGCAAGTTAGATTGATTAATTATCTTCTGAATTGAATGTATGATCCAATGATAGAAAGGTTGCTCAGATTATTATTTTGACAGGAAAAAGTGGTTCATATGTTTTAATGCTTGATTTGCAGTGTAAGGCTTGTTTTCTAACAATCTTTTGCACATGAAAGTCAGAAGATGATTTGAATGTTTTTGTTAGGGGATTCTGTGGCAATTTGGTGTGTATGTTCTTTCTCAATTGATAGACTCTAGAACCTATCTTGGAATCTCTTGAGGCGATTTAATGATTTTGCATAACTTTAGAAAATGACTTGGGCATTTGTTTAAAATACGTTTGAGCCTTTCAAGCCGACCTGTGATATTATTTCCACTTGATCCCCTATTTGAGCCTTTAATTGAAAAACCATGTTAATTCCTTTTGGAACCCACAGCTGACCCTAGCCTTTGCAATGTGAAAAAGCCATGAACTACCCTAATGTTGAGATAATTGACATGTTACTTTTGCTAGAGAGGCTTGGTAGGTATGGTTGTTAGAGGAGGTATGTGATTGTAAAATTGGGTATGGAAATGTAAATGATGCAGGGTGTTTTGTACTCCTAAGTCAAGTCAAGTTTATTTTTGCTTATCTAAAAAAAAAAGAAAAAAAAAGAGAAAAAGAAATGCAAAAAAAAAAAAGAAGAAGAAGAAGAAGAGAAAGAGTTCAATTCCAATAAGATTTGGAGTAAATTTGGAGTACATAGAATTCAACTTGATATAAATTTAGGGGGATAGGTGGCTTTTTGAAAGAAAATTTTGTATAGTAAAGGAAAAGTGAAGAATACATGAAGTCATTTATCTCAAGATATTTGAATTGTCTCCTTTACCATTCTTTCAATTAGCTTAACCCATAGCCACATTACAAGCTTAAAAAGTCCCATTGATTTTAGAATTGTGTGAAGTCATTCTTTTGTTGAGAGGGAGGAAAATGCTAGGCATATAAAGTCCTGATCTTGAGGTTGTATTAAACATATCGAAGTGTTATAGTTGATCTTAACAGTTGCAGGAAAATCGTATTCTGACTCCTTTCACACACACACATTTTGAAAATTGATAGAAAGCATGCTTTTATGTTGTGGATCTTGCATTCTTCTGTATTTCACTATGTTCCTGTTAAGTATATCTTGTTGAGCAACTATGAGGAAACCTTCATTCATGCTAAGTAAGTGGATAATTGATTACTCTAGTTATTTTAGCATGTGGTTTACTCAAGGACAAGTAAAAGTTTAAGTTTTGGAGTGTGTTAATTTCTAGAATTTCATGTCATTTCAGTACTTTTTGGTGTCGCCACGGAAAGTGGACTTTCAGCGGTGACTTTTTTTGTCGCCGCCGAAAGTCGTCGCCTAAAGTCTATTTTTTTGTAGTGCGATATAATTACTGAAAGCTTTTATAATAAGTGAATGATAACTTCTAATGCAAAAAATGACAACAAGAATTGTGCTACTAATTTGTTATTGAGATTTGTTTATCATAATTGGAGTAATGCTTGCTGCCCCTCATAATTTGTTAAGAGATTTTTAGCACCTCATAATATATTTTTTTATTTTATTTTAGTTGTAAGTGGAGGGAGCATCTTATGAATTCGAGTAATCGTGGAATTGCCATTGGGAATAGGCAGTATGGAGACACCGCTTACCCCCATCAATTATTTTAAGATTAAAATCTGATTAAAATTTTAAACATTATGAAAGGTTATAAATAGGGAGTAACATTATCACTCATACCACTCAAAATTATAACTTGTTTCCGGTATTATGGATCTGTAAGTTTAAGAAACAGATATAATTACGTTCATCGTTCCACCTTTAACGCAAGGGTCGCAATTGTACAGGTCATGATAAGTAAAATAATATTAAAAAGAAAAGCATCATTCATTTGAGAATTTGGTTCTAAAATCAGATGAAGTATCACTTATGACACTTTTAATTGATTTAAGCAGTACAAATAATAAGAGGAAC